ATTATTCTGTTTCTTCGAATACTCATCCTTTTCGTGCTGAAGTTGCTGGGCCATTTTAAAAATCAATAAAAAAATTATAAATCAGCTAAAATTCAGCCCTTTCCCCTTTGCTCCTTGCAGTAACCATCGCTTCGTATAAAAGATGGAGGAACTCGAAAACAGGTCCACTAATAGCATGTTTCTACAGCACTGCCAGTTATTGCTCTGTCTGAAACTGGCTTGTGTCTTTGTATGTACCAGTACTAATTTAACTTACAAATGAATGAACGAATTGCACGTCGTAGGGGATTGGTTGGCTCATTGTAGCGTAGCACATATTAAACTGTTTGAAAATTTGATAAACACTCTTTATAGACTATGTGTCCTGCTAGGAAATCATTGCTGTGACCAGCGATCTACGATTCATGGATGGGATTTATTCGGACAAAGGACGCGCCAGTTCGGCCTGTTTAAAGACCAGATAATTGTGATATTAGTAAAAATATGTATTTTCGTTCGGATTTAATTCATAACGAGCATTTTTGTTGTTTGTTTATTGCTCGGCTCTATTGATTATGTATGAATTTTATTACACGTTGTATTGCGTTAATAATGTATGAGTTTATTTTAGTGCTTTATCGAGTGTATTTTAAGTAGGAGGGCATATTTCTGAAATTCTTGTATTATGTGTTAACTTGTAATATAAATTTGTTTTGTATAAAATTTGGTTAGGCAAACTGAGCGTTAAAAAAGTCTGATAGAGTTGCAGCAACGTGTAGTGGTATTTCTGAGTAAAGTTGAGGATCGGTGTCATCATAATGTTGCTGTGCAGTTTCTTCTTTGGCGACGGAGAGGAGGAGGAGAGGGTGAACGGTCTCCCTCCTCCCCTCGGCATAGGCGTCAGTGCTGCAAACGCCCGGGTCTAAAGCTAAAACTAAAGCCTAGAGTAACTTTGAGTAGCAGTGTTATAACTCTATTTTTTGTTCTTGTATAGTTCCAGGGTGAGAGGGGACCCTCCTCC